GAATTCTCCAGAGAAAGAACTACTTGTCAGCCTCCCTTCGGGGCAGGACCGGGAAAGGGTGTGAGGTGGAGGGAAGCACAGGGCTGTGGGTCACTGTCATGTTGACAAACTCTCTGCTAGGATGAGATCAGCAATACAAGACTACACAGTATTGCTGGTAAGCACCAACAAGCAAACAGTAAGGATAATGTTTTAAATAGGCCATCCCACATAGGGAGCATGAAGGGGAAAAGGCAGTGCAGAGGCAGGCAGGACAAGACTAACAGTGGCACTGAGGTCTGGAAGATTCTCTAACCATCCATCCACAGCTGTGGGTGCCAGCGACTCCATCCTAGCCTGGCCCCACTGGTTGGGGGGTAAGGCTAGGACCCCTGTGGCTTTCCTTTTCCTGAGACTGAGTCACTTCCTTTCTTCAGCTCTCACCTTTGAACCTTCCTTTTCCCTTCCCTGCAGAAGTGACTCACTGCTGGTGTTGGGTGACACTGAAGATCAAGGATGGATGATAAAAATACCCTGGATTGTGCAACCTGAGGGAGAGGATGTAGCACTTGCACCTAGATTCAAAGCCCCAGCCAGGAACCTTGAACAATGGCCACAGCTTGGTCTCTTTGGGGAAGCAGAGTAAAAGACAGCAGTCAGAACATAAGCTGACCTGTGTTCTCTGAGAAACACTGTACAGATATTTAGCAGGACAACCTGGTTCACATGAGGGACCCAAAAGGAAGACCCTGGTTCAGGAAGCAGCAAGTGGAGAGGCCCTGATGTTTCCTATTGTCAGCCCCGAGAGCAGGGTTCTTTCTTTCTGGACTTGTTCTCCAGTGCAAAGGACTGTCCTCTGCCAGTATGGGAACTGTGAGTGAAGCCACCGTGACAGAGTGGCTCCAGGCTGTCTACTGCCCTAACACACAACCCTGACAGCAGGGTCATCTAAATCTGTCCTGTGTGCAAAGTGGCACCACAGCAACCAGCTGCCTGCCGAGGAGGAAACTCACCTTCCTTCACCCAAATCCACTGGCGGACGGATGAAAACCAGAACGCTAATTACACTCCACGGGCCCCATGGGCTGAGCAAAACCAAGCAGCTTTTTCTAAAGAACTAGTCCCTGGCCAGGGCACACACTGCTCAAGATGGGAGTGAGTGAGAGGCAGGAAAATCACCCCGTCCGAAGGCCAAACAAACGGGAGCAGAGACTTCAGAGCAGAACTGAGTAGGCATTGTGGCTCCTACTGTAATCCCACTACACGGGAGGCCTGGGCTAGAGACAGACCCCATCTTAGGCAGAAATAGAAAGAGAGAGAGCGCGCGCGCGCGCGCGCGCGAGAGAGAGAGAGAGAGAGAGAGAGAGAGGAGTACATGTCTCTGTGTGTGTGTGTTGGGGCATCTTACAGATGCACTCGTGCTATGACAGCATCATTCTCCAGGAAGTGAAGCAGGAAGCATCCACATAAACTTCCAGAGCTATTCTAGATGAATAGAGACCTAGCTGAGCAGGGAGGCTAAGTTTGCCTTTGAGAGCTCCCTTGACTACCTTCTCTCTCTAGCACACACGATGCCTGCCCGTCTTTGGGAAGATGTGAGACCCAGAGAGTTCCTCTGGAACTCCCCTCCTTAGTAAGTGAGTCACTGGCTAAGTGAGGCAGAGGGCACTGGCAGAAGTTTATAGAAACAGACCTTTCCTGCGCACACCTGACCACACATGCCCACCTGTTGCCAGCACAACGGAGAGACTGGGGAGCTAATGCCAGAGTCTGGCTGACCCGGGACCTCAGATAGAGAGAACGTCCAGTGACTCCCACCCTGGATCCCAACGAATGTTGTGGCAGGCACAGCTCTAGGCCAGGCTGTCCTCATGTGGCACAAAGGGCTGCTTCCCAAACTCACCCAAGCAGGCAGTGGGAAGGGAGGCGGCGCCAGCAAGCCGAAGGAGGCTTTTCTCAACTGATCATCTTGGGAAAAGGCAGATACAAATTTCATGGCTGGAATGCAAGGGTTGTGAAACTGCTGAAGACGTCCCAAAGAGGGCCCAGGATGCTCCTTCCAGGAAGGCAGTGGGAGGAGGGCTGGCAACAGCGGGTTGGAGAACAGGTTACCAGAGGGGTTGCCTTCTGGGAAGCAGGAACTAGGGCCTCCAAAAAAAAAAGAAATCCCCTGGTCCTGAGGTGGGATATGAGCCAGAGATAGGCTAATGCTTGCTTCTAAAGAAGAAAATGAAGCCTGTTTCAGAACGAGCCAGCTATGACACAGTTCATTATTTCAAGAATCATGGGGCTAATGAGAGGTCCTCCTTACAGCCTAACAAACCCAGTCATCTAACGTGGACCTAGCTTGTCCTCAGTGTCATGTGAGAGCCTGTCCCTAGTCATGCTGCAACCAGTTAGTTACATGAGTTCCCCAAGTGAGGTCATTATTATCTCAGAGACATGGCCTGCAGGTCCTCAGAGGGTCCCTGAGCACAGGACAAGGAAGGTCACACCTGTTGAGATTGCCCTTAACTACTTACCAGCTCCCTACATCTCAAGTGTTTCTTCTGGAAAAGGAAAAAATATAAGACTATTTACTTCACACAGTGGCTGCAAGGATGAATTGAATTAATATTGGTATGAACTGTTGGCTGCTATGGATGTATGAAATTAGCAAGTGCCCAATTCCCCAAGTAGGCCAGAACCCAGTTGCTGATGCCGAGGCCTGATCAGCTGTTCTAAGTGAACCCATCTCTGTAACCTCTTCAATCACATCCAGAGCCACAAAGACCCATGCCTCAGAGCTGCCCAGCCCAAAGTCCTGACTAAGGGGAAACTGGACAGGCAGACAAAATAGGGCCCATGCTGTGATGGCAGCCTCCCAGAGGACGACAAACACCGGTGCCAGCACATTTGGGACCGGGTTTCTCTGTCACCATCTTTATGGTGAGTTTTAAAGGAGGTCAGGTCCCAGAGTGGGCAGCACAGATATTATAATGGTGCTTGCTAATCTCAACCGAGCTGGCCACTGTCAAGCCTGAGACAGCAGAGAGCTAGGCTCCGGGAGAGCTGAGGGCACCGGGAGAACGGTCTTAGCGGACCATTGCTCAACTGCCTGTTAGCAAATTGGTAACAAGGACCAAGAACCTCAGGAGAGGGTCTGACCCCCACCCTCCCCAGATGTCAGACTTCACTTTGGGTTCCTGATTGGGCACTTGAGCCGCAGGGAGGGCAGAAGACTCCAGAGGGCTCGCACCTCTGATCTATTCTCACCCATCTCTGTATATCAGCCAATGGAGGGCAAAGAGTAGGGGCAAAGGGGACGGCTTTCTGCCAATACCCAGTTGTGTCTACAGGAACTGAGAGCCCGGTCTGTGCCCTTTGCAGTGTCTAGGGGCACAATAGCCAGACATATAAATAAGAAACAGAACGAGATACCAGGCGTGTCTCAGGTCAAAGAGAGAGGGGCATCTCTGCAAGAGCTCTCTGTCAGAGCTCTGGCGTCCTTTGGGAGGCGGGAGGAGCAGCCTCCCTACATTTCCAGCAAACTACTCGAGGTACAAGTCCACTTCTGACCTGCCACCAGTGCCAGAGATGCCCAGGGCAAGGAGCCATACTTGGGGCTTAGGGAGTACAGTCCTGGGTCAGGGTCCAGACTGCAGGTGGAAAGCTTCCAGATGCCCCATGACACAGCTTGGCCATCTGCTACTGCCACGACAAAACACGAGTGACCTAAGAAAGTCATTGGCTTGCAGCTAAGGGCTGCAGAGTGGCAATGGAAGCCTCTCCATGCTGTCAGAGAGCTCGATTCTTCCAGCTCTAGAAGGCAGGTACACCAGGTGAGCCGCACTGGGTGGATTGGCGCTCAGAGTAACGCTCTTGACACCATAGTCTGCTCTCAGGATGCAGCCCCGGTGTTAAGCAGCCAAACTCCCCACCTCAGTTCCTACAGCAGCTTCCTATGCTAGCTGCAGTTCTGGGGGCACCCAATCCTCTCTCTCCAAGACACGCTGCTTCCTCCAGATGATGGCATCTTTCCCGTAGTGTGCGGTATCACTCATCTTTCTGGGGATCATGAATCAACAAATCAACAACTGGAGCCTGACTCCAAAGCTGTGGTCACTTCCAACAAACCGTGTGTGCAGTCAGTCGGCATCTGCCATCAACAGTCCATTGTTTCATTCGTGTTCCCCGCAAAGGAAGGCCTGCACATCCTAGCTGGCCCCCAGGACTTGAGGTTGCCACATAACAAGCTTATAGTAAAGGCTTCTTAGAAGGTGGGCAGATCATACTAGCGGTGTAGGATTAGCCCATCTCCATTTTCACCTGAGGCCCAACAATCTCCTGGGCAGGCCAGGTTCCTGCTCTGAGCTGCCAGCACCAAGGCATCCAGGTCAGATGAAAGGGGTTCCTAGCTCTAGCCTTGCTCTGCACTCGCCTCCTAACAGAGGAAGAGGTGGGAAGGAAGCAGATCTGACCTCTGGGATCGGCTGGTTTCTCCCAAGGACTACAGGACCCCGAGACAGGCGGCAGAGGCCTGCTAAGGATTTTCCTTCCCTTCCCTGGGCCCCAGGAAAGGCAGGCAGGAAGAGGGGCCTAGGTAGCAGGCATGCAGTGCAGGGCTGGCCAGACAAGGAGGTCCCTGGGGTTGCAGCTATCAGCCAGAGCCCAGGCTCCAGGAAGGAAGGAAGGGCAACTCTGACCGTGGCTGAGATAAAGGGACTGGCTTAGCACAATGGGCTCCCACAAGGCTGAGAGGCCCCCAGTCAGATTTTGCCCTGACCTGGACTCTCGTCTGTTCACACAGCCCATATAAATATTTACTGCTGTTTACATTCATGCTCTGCAGGGTCCCCTTTGAGAACCTCTCCTTCAACCACAGGTCTGTGTGCCCCTGGACCAGAGCTATCCTTAACCCCAGAGGTCCTGGGTCCCTTCACCCAGAACTATGTGCACTGATCTCTCTCATGCAATCCTTGGTTATAGCCCCTCAGGGAAAATACTATCCTCTTGTCCTAGCCCTGGAACATGACACTTACGGGGGGCGGTCGTGGGTGAGGCCATTATGTCGCTGAGGGTTGATTGGTGGAAGGACAGGTTTGCTGTTGATCTCGAGTCCTCTCCTCAGGGTCTCCCGGATCTGTTCTGTATCTGCAACGATATCCCGATATCCTGAAGTTGCCTGATGGTCCTCTGGGCTCCCAGCAGCCCTTCCTCTCAGCCTGCTCTAGAGCCTAGGACAGCAGTGTGTTGGCTAAAGGCCGGCATGGTGGCACACACCAGTAATCCTAGCTCTAGGTGGCTGAGATACGAGTTTGACAAGTTTGAGACTAGCCTGGGCTACCATGATGAGATCCTGCCTCCAAACAGAGAAAGAAGAAAAGGTGGGTGGGTAGTACTAGCAGGGAAGGGATGACCACCAGCTCTGCTGTGACCTGCTGTTGATTACCAAAACCCCCATAAAAACCAACAGTGCTGGGCATGGCGGTGCTAGTCTATAATCCCAGCACTGGGACATTTGAGGCAGGAAATTAGAAGCCAGCCTATGCCACAGAGAGAAAGAGAGGTTGTCTGAAAAATAAATAAACAATAAGTAAAATAACCGTGATGATTGCAACTGTGGACATGATCACCAACCTCTCATTAAGTTAGCCTTTGGTCAAAGACAGCTGAGTATGAACCCCTCCTGCAGGAGAGTAAAGAGGGGTTTAAGTTGTCCTTTCAGAAATCTTTTTTATTCATTTTTTTTCTTTTTTATTTCATGTGCATTAGTGTTTTGCCATGGGTGTTGGGTCCTCTGGAACTGGACAGCTGTGAGCTGCCATGTGGATGCTGGAAACTGAATCCAGGTCCTCTGGAAGAGCAGCCAGCACTCCCAAGCACTGAGCCATCTCTCCAGCTTACACACGGCATGGAGTGTGGAGGTACAGTTCCACAGAAAAATCCGTGCTTAGCTTCTACCCCCAGCACTGAAAGGAAAGAAAGAAAAAGAAAGCCAGGTGTGATGGCTTCTGGAAACCCAACACCTCGGAGATTGGGAGCTGGAGGATCAGGAACTCAAGGTCATCCGTGGCTACACAGTAAGTTAAGAGGCCAGCCTGCACTAAATGAGACTCTAGCGCAAAAGCAAACAAAGTCACAAAGCCAGGTATTTTACTCAGGGTTGAAGGCATCTTATTCTTCAATAAGCATAAGAGGACAGAACCAACAAAGGAAGGAGACAAAAAGCCGCCCACATACATGGGCGTAAATGGTTGCTTTCCTTTGGCACTGGCTAGGGACGGCCTTAGCAAAAAAGAAAAAAAACAAAACCACAAGTGCTTCTGTAGCCAAGACCAGCAAGGGAGCGTCCAACAGGACAGCCACATCCTCCTTGCCCGAGACCTTCCCTGGAGACAGTGGGAGCAGGGCGCCCTGCCACAGCCTCCTGAAGTATGGTGTAGGGCAGTGTGGGGGCTCACGCTCAGGCCACTCTCGTCAAAAGCCCAGGCAGACCCAAGGAGAGAGATCCACAGGCTCGACGGGGCTGTTTGGCCAGAACTGGGACCTGTGTCAGTTCTGTGGGTGGTGGACATTTGCTGCCTTGTCTCTAGGTGGGCTGTGGACTTTTCCTGTTAACTGTCCCATGGCTCCCACTCACACGCATGACCTCAGCGTGTCCACGCAGCTCCCACTGGTGTGTTTGAAATGCACACAGGAAACAGCTACGAGCAGGCTGATAATGCTCACACAGTTCATCCACAGTGGGAAAACGCATTTGTCAGAATAAGTCAGAGTGGACTGTCTACTCATCCCAGGCAGTCTGAAAGGCAAGTGGAGAAGGCAGGGGAAGGCCCCAACCTTTGCCAGAGAGCCTCCGGGGTTGTGTGCCGATGCAGATGCTCCGGCTATCCTCATCGTCCTCAGGAGGTCGGCTTAGGTCATCCCAGGCACACTTGGCACTAACACCGCTCAGGTTAGAACCATCTGTCTCGATGCCTTTGTCAACTCTCTCCTGCTTGAAAAGAACCAAAGAGTCAGAGTTCCTTCAGAGAACTGGTAGCCCAAGGTCACCACCACACCCGGTCACTGGTCACTATTCTTCCAGTATTAGCCTTGGAGGTGTTGAGCATGGACAGCTGCTGCAAGCTCAGGGTCTTTGACTTTGTTCTGATTGCATGCACAGTGGCTTCTGAGCCCCTGGACTCTTCTGGGGAGCAGATCAGGGGAGCCAGGAGGAATGAACATGCCATGGATGCTTCCTTCCCATCAACCCCAGCACCACGGCCTTTGTGCCTGAGAGCCCTCAAAGCTGATGCAGCAGAGACAAAATCTATTTTTCTCAGGGAAGGCATAGCCTTCTCCTCTTCCTGATCTTCCAAAAATGGTCATTGCCCATCCCACCTTCAGGAGTTAGGGTGTGAGTCAGGCCAGACCTGGGAACCCATACCTGCAGTTCCCCATGATAACAGCTAGAGGGGGCTATCACTCCAGAGCAGAAGTGCTCTCTGTCCATAGGTGCCAGCTAACTTTGGCAAAGGGCTCTGGACGGGGTACTTTTCCATTTCCTAGGTTGAAATGGAGGGTCTTGAGGGCAGTAACTGCTGCACGCTTCCCCCAGAGGCCCTGCCTTTGTGTAGACATTGGCACTGTTCAGACTACACTTTCTCCAAATGGCCTCAAGGAAGAGTTGTACTAAAAACATCCCTGGGTTTTCTGGTAAAACATAGTTCTGTGGTGCTGGGCTTTGGATCGAAGGTCATCTGGAAGACTCTAGCAGCCTTGTTCATAAACAACTAAACAGCCATGTAGGCCAAGTAAACCTCCTGTGAGTTGGCACCTCAGAAGCTTATACTCTAATGAGCCAGCCGGTCCCTCTTCAGGGCTCCCAGACAAGGGCATTGTTCTTAAGCCTTGGTCACAGGTGGCCTCCTACCATCAGCCACCCTTTCTTCTTTCTTCCTGTGCTGTCATCGGCCTGGGTGAGGCTGGCAGCAGGCAAGCCACAGCTCTAGGTGTTCTAGGCATGAGCACAGGTGAATGGGGTGGGCAAGCAGGATCTGCTGGGGGAGAACCTGGGTTTTCCTGTCAATGGCTATCCTGAGAACCCTCCATGAGGCAGAGCTAAGGACAGCTGGTTCATGGCCCCACTAGTCCAGATTGCTTATTTTTAATGTAAAAAGGAAGAGTTAAGAATCATGGCTGCTGTGATAATGCCAGCAACTCAAGAGGCTACTGCGGGGCAGAGTGAATTCGAGTCCAGTCTAGGCAACTTAGTAAGAACCCACCTTAAAAGTAAAAAGTTGGCTAGGCTGGGGATGGAGCAGAGGTCTTGTTTCATATGCATGAGACCCTAGATTTAGCACCCAGTGTCAGAAAAAAAAAAAAAAAGGCAGTAGAAGGACAGGCCTGTTTAGGCACACAGCTGGTTAGTAGGAGTAAACTAAGATCAAAGGAACATGAACCAGCTTTCAAAGCAACTAATGGCAAAGAGGCCCCAGAAAGCTCACTTGGTACATAGAGCCATTGGGAAAGCAAGGTACATTTTCTCCCACCGGCTTCTGGCTTGATGGTAATGACCATAGGGTGGGATGGGTCCTGCTGGCTGGGGTCTCAAGAGGGCCTCAGGCAGTACTTGGCACTCATGACAGGGGCCAAACAAGACCCCACCATGCCCCACACTGAATCTCGGTGTGGCTGCAGAACCAGGGCTTTAGGGATGGAGCCTTCATAGCTTCTGGCTCCTGCATAAACAGATGCTACACAGAAGGTGAATTCAAAGTAGAGGTAACAAAAGATCCTGGCAGCAGTGTGAGCACTTAGAGTTAAAGGTACGCAGAGTGGAGTCTCCTTTACGAATGGAGAGGGTGTATGCTCAAGAACTCACAGGTCAGCAGCTACTCACTTACAGGTCTGCAGGCTTCATGTCCTTTAGCCTCTCCCCTACTGTATGACTTACAATGCCCAGTCATTGCTGTGGCCTGCCAGAGCCTTACAGAAGCGTGACCTGCCTCTGGTGGCACGGTGAGCAGAAGGAGTCAAACAACAACAAGGCAGACGTGTGGCCTGCTGCTTCTGCCCCTGCACAAGCATGCAAGAAATGCAGCAGTGCTCTGTAGTGTCCAGGCAGCCACGGTGGGGTCTAGAGACTCCTTCACAATGGCTGGATGACTAGATCAACCTAGCCTGTGCTGCTGTCTGACATAGGGAGGGTGGCTCCCCGAAAATGTGTGCTAAGAAGAGGGAGCAGGGAAAGGAGCGTAGGGCAAGGAAGCAAAATTCCTTACGACTGCCTTCCTTTGTTGGTAGTGGGCTAATTTTATTTTATTTTATTTATTTATTTTTGTTTTTGTTTTTGGAGACAGGGTTTCTCTGTGGTTTTGGAGCCTGTCCTGGAACTAGCTCTTGTAGACCAGGCTGGTCTCGAACTCACAGAGATCCGCCTGCCTCTGCCTCCCGAGTGCTGGGATTAAAGGTGTGCGCCACCCCCGCCCGGCTGGGCTAATTTTAAGTTGACATATAATTTACATACAATAAAATCCATTCTCTTTAAATGCACACATGCATGTGTCAGGCTCGCCTTTCTGGGCTGAAATCTGGTTTCTTATATGGGCTGCAGAACTCAGGGGACACGTTCCAGACCATGCCATATTCCTACTGGCTCACACACACATTTTCTCAGGGTGAAAGCCAGTGTTATCTGGAAGAGTGCTAGCAAGGTTTTCCTCACTCAAGACATACTTGCAGGTGCGGATCGATCTCAAATATGGTTTCTCCCCTCCGCATGTCAGTTATCAGCCAGGGACCGCCAGCACTGTGAACAAGGAGAGACGGTGGGAACTGAGGATCTGGAGTGAGCATCAGTCAACAGGCTTTCTTGTTTGCAGTCCCAGGCCCAGAACACACAGGGCACTGTTAGTAGCCAGGGACCATAGGGAAATGAGTGCCCCAAACAGCAAAGCAAAGGACCCGACAGGAGCGACAGAGGGAGGACGCCCACCCCCAAGACCCAGGGGTCAAGGCCCCCCCTTCGAGGGACGTGTACTCACACGGGCACCGTTCTCAGCAGTTCCAGGATGCCTTGCCCATTCCACTGCTGGGCCGAATGTAGCTCCTCAGTGCAGACGCCGACAATCTGCGGCCCAGGACGAGATGCCATGTGTTTTATGGCCATTCCTCCCAGATGTCCAGCTACCCAGGCCCTCTCAGGGACATCTCAAGGAGGGGCAATACATGTACAGTTTGTGTTTCTAAGCTGGTGTTCCCCAAATGTGATGGCTCCCTCAGGAGGTGCTACCTAGCTGGAAGGTCCCTGAGTCCAGAGAAAGCCACCAAGGCCTGAGCAGGTATCTAGTAGCACAGAACCAAGCTTTTGGCTACAGAAGAAACTAAGGGCAGCTTGAATCATATCAGGGTAGGTCCTCCCTCAGGCCAGGTATTTAGAGGTAGGGTGAGGTCAGGCAGCTGTTCCCACAGTAGCTGCAGGTCTGTGGGAATCTCTAGGACACAAGTGAAACTTCCCCTCATTAGAACTGCAAGCAAGCATGGGCAGCAGCGGATGAGATTCACAGCCACTGAGGAAACAGGAGGTAAGCCTGGAGCTGGCTTCCTGCTGGGCTGTCCCTCTTACCTCTGCATTGCAGAGGATGAAATCAGACCATCTGAATCAATACAGACCATGGCAGGGAAGACAGGACCAAGAGGCACAGGTGGCGTCTCACCTGGAGGAAGGTAACCACCCCGAACGGGGTCTGCACAGGCTGCATCTGCGGGTCCTCCGTCAGCAGCATGTGCTGAATTCTCGACTCACTGTTGTCCAAAGGGCTGTGCCAAGACACGTGGTCCCCGCTACAGAAGGTGTTCTCTGTGGAGAGACAGTGTGAGCCTCAGCATTGGATCCAGCCCTGGAATCTGCCCTGATCGCAGAAGCCCGGGTTGGGAGGCTGCAGGGCCTAGAACAGCCAGATGCACCCCAGGGAGGCTCACCAGACTCCTAGAACAGCCAGATGAGCCCACTCCCAATACAAGTGAAGAATTGAGGCTACTCCCAAAACACCAAATAATGGTCTTGGATGACCAGTGTGCTTGCCTTCACTGGAAAAGGACAGGCTACTGGTGTTGCATGCTCACTTGGCTCAGGAAGGCCAGACTTGGAGCATCTGCTGTGCTCCTCCAGTACCCTTACACATGGGGATGGGCACAAGCAAGTGGGCTAAGAATGAGGTGCTTTCCACTGGGGCCAATGGACCATAAGCAAGCAGGGAAGCTGGAAGCAGTGGGAATTGGTGGAAAAACTCCCCGGGATTTCTGCTCTGGTGAATCAGTGCAGAAAGGGAACACTCAACCTCAAAAAGCCTTGGAGATCTGCTGCCAGTTTCCCACAGAAGATCTGGGGATTTCAGAGGAACACCGGAGACTTAGGGTAAATGGAGATCAGGACAGTGCCTTGCATACCTCAGTAGACAGCACTGCTGACGGGTGGCTGCCTCTGCGAGAGCACAGCAACTAACCTCAGACTCAGGATCATGCTTCACAAAGGCCTACTATTTATTTAAAAAACAAAACAAAACAACAACAACCAAGCGCCAGCAGTGAAGGCATATGCATGTAACCCTAGCTCTCAGGAGGTTAAGGCAAGCGTTGAGGCCGGCCTGGGCTACCTGCCAACACTGTCTCAAAAAATAAAAACAAAAACCCAAACAGAACATGTTTACAGCAGCAAAGCCATAGTGGAGCACTCCGTGTAGTACTAAGTACCCTCCTACCCCAACTCTTGTCTTGAGTGCTCACAGTGTGCTGTGCTTGCCAGCTCACCTACACCGGCAGATTCCCAGGCTGCCCTCAAACTCCCTGTGGGGCCTCCAACTCTGAGCCAAGTCTTGAGATTATAGACATGTGCCATCACATCCAGCTGTTGGTTTCTCTTTAAAATGTGCATGAAACCAGGCGATGGTGGTGCATGCCTTTAATCCTAGCAGTTGGGAGGCAGAGATAGGTGGATTTCTGCGAGTTCGAGGCCAGCCTGGTCTACAGAGCTAGTTTTCCAGGGCAGCTAGGGCTGTTACACAGAAAAAATCCTGTCTTTTCTTTTTTTTTAATTTATTGCTTTATAAATAACACCATTCAAAATTTCCACTTCCTCCGCTCCTCCCATTTCTCTCCCGCTTCCCCACTCCCTCACCCCTCCCCCTCCAGTCCTAAGAGAGGGCAGGGTACCCTGCCCTGTGGGACGCCCAAGGCCCTCCCTGCTCCATCCAGGCTTAGGAAGGTATGCATCCAAGCAGACTAGGGTCCCAAAAAGCCAGTACATGCAGTAGAGACAAATTCTAGTGCCATCATCATTGGCTTCTCAGTCTGCCCCCATTGTCAGCCACATTCAGAGAGTCCAGTTTGATCACATGCTCGTTCAGTCCCAGTCCAGCTGGCTTTAGTGAGCTCCCATTAGATCAGGCACATTGTCTCAGTGGGTGGACCAACCCCGCCCCCGCCCCACCCTCACCCCCACAGTCCAAAAACAAAAAAAAAAAAGTGTTCCACTTAGATGCCTGGTGCCTGAGGAGGCCAGAAGAGAGCATCAGATACCCTGGAACTGGAGTTCTAGACATCCATGGGCTGACTTGTGGGTGCTGGGAACCCAACCTGAGTCCTCTGGAAGAGCAGCAGGTTCTTTTAACCATTAAGTCATTTCCCTAGCCCTGACCACATCCAATTTCCCATGGTGCTGGTGAGAGCCCAGGCTTTGTGCACACTAGGCAGGCACTGTACCAGCTGAGCGACACACCCTAGAGCTCATTTCACAGCTGCGGCAGAGAGCCTCCTTTGCTAAACATCTATGGCATGCAGCAAAGCAGAACACATCACACAAGCCATGCACATCTGCACACAGCAGCCTGAGCCTGGAAGCTTCTGCCCTTGATTGTCTTGTCTTGATCTGAACTCTTAATTCCTTCCCATGTTACCTGATATCACCCAACCATCTTTCCCAGGCAGACACAGGCTCGAGGAGCTGCCCACACTTCGACAGTGCTCACTCATCAGGAGACCCCAAGAACAAAGAGGAGGAGAAGGCGGGCTAGTGAGAAACCCTCAAGCTTCTGCACTCCTGCTTGCATACTCCTGAGCCCCTCTCTCCTTTAACTGTGTCTATAATCAGCTTGCTGGAAGTAAGAAACAGCATGAGAGACTGAACTAATAATTAAAAACCCTCACCAGACTCCACTGACATCAGAGAATTTATGATTTTTCATAAGCCTTTCCAAAAGTTATAAAAGAAACACTTCTCAATTCATTAGATGATGCTAATACTATCCTGATACCAAAATCAGACAAAAGAATTTAAGAAAATGGAAAAAGGAAACCATAGACCAATATCACTTATACATATAGAAAAATAATCCCAACAAAATACTAGCAAGATGAACCCAGCAACATATAAAAGAGGTTAAATATAAAAAACAAGTAGGATTTATCCCAAAAATTCTAGATTGATTTAATTTAAAAATCAAGCTGGGTGGTGGTGGCGGCTCACACCTTTAATCCTAGCACTCGGGAGGGAGAGGCAGGCGGATCTCTAGGAGTTTGAGACCAGCCTGGTCTACAGAGCGAGTTCCAGGACAGGCTCCAAAGCTACACAGAGAAACCCTGTCTCTAAAAACAAAGCAAGGGACTGGAGAGATGGGTCAGAGGTTAAGAGCACTGTCTGCTCTTCTAGAGGTCCTGAGTTCAATTCCCAGCAACCACATGGTGGCTCACAACCATCTGTAATGAGATCTGGTGCCCTCTTCTGGCAAGTGTATGTACAATAAATAAATTTTTAAAAAAGCAAAACAAACAAAACTCAATATAATAGGGCTGAGGATGGAGCTTGGTTGATAGAGTGTTTGCCTTGTGTGCATGAGGCCCTGGGTTTGATCCTCAACGTCAACCAGGGGTGGTATTAGACATCTGTAATCCCAGCACAAGGGAGTGGAAGTAAAAAAAAAAAATCACATTCAGGGGATGAAATGGCTCAGTGCATAAAGGCTTGCATGGCGAACCTAACTACCCACAGTAGAGAGAGATCTGCCCCTAAAAGCTGACCTCTGACCTCTAGGTATGTGCCATGGCACATGCATGCTCACACTCACACACACAATAAAATATACACAATAAAACACACAATAAAAACTGAAAAAAAAAAGAATCAGGTTCACATAGTGAATTTAATGCAGCTCCTGTCTATAGGAATAAAAATTAAGAAACTGAAAGGACAACACAACACTGTTGTCTCTGAGACATGGGAAAAACATGTCACAAAATCCAATACCTTTTCATGATTAAACCAAACACTGCAACTAGGAATAGATGGGAGCGTTCTCACTCTGACTAAAGACAGCTAAAGAACCGGCAGGAACACTGTGCTCGATGGTAAACGAGTGACTCATTTCCCTCTTCGATGAGGACCAAGACAGGTGTCTCGCTGCTTGTATTCATCATTGCAGCTGAGGTTCCCCTAGGAGGCTTGGACACAAAAAGCAATCAAACACATCCAGACTGGAAAGGAAGAGGAAAACTGTGTTCCAACACCAGGGGCTTGTGCATGCAACATCTGAGGAATGCATGAGAAACTACATTTATAAAGGTGGCAGGGTACACAGGCAATATGCAAAAATCATTTTTATTTCTAGATGCTAGGAATGAGCAAACAAAATGAAATTAATGAAAACAATTTCTTTATAACACCTATTAGAGTACACTACTTGGGAGACATCTAACAAGAAAATTAGAAACGTGGACACTTAAAATTTCAAAATGTTGAAGGAGGTCACCGAAAACCCACACGAATGCAAAGTCATCCACTCAGAAGACAGAACCACTCGGTGAGCAGCACTCCCCGAATCATCTACAGCCAGTTCAAGCTTTCTAAGAACGTCAGGTGTCTTTCTGGAAGAGTCGTACAAACATTCCGAAATCCATAAAAAACGCCAAGAGGGCAAGAACAGTCAAGAACAGATTTTGAAACAAACAAGAGGAAGAAAATCAGGTAAGTGTGGTCACATACACAGGTTACGTAATCCAAACACAGGAGGATTGAGAGCTTGAGGCTAGCCTGAGCTACATAATAAAACTGTCTCAAAAACCAAGGCCTAGCTGCATATGTGATAGCTCACGTCTTCAGTCCCAGCACTTGGGAAGCAGAGACATGTGGATCTCTATGAGTTCAAGGCTAGCATGGTCTATGTAGTGTAAAAACAGTGAGACCCCAACTAAAAGAAATAAAATAAGCCAGGCAGTGGTGGCACATGCCTTTAATCCCAGCACTTGGGAGACAGAGATAAGGGGATCTCTGTGAGTTCGAGGCCAGTCTGGTCTACAAGAGGTAGTTCCAGGACAGGCACCAAAGCTACAGAGAAACCCTGTCTTGAAAAACCAAAAAATAAAATAAAATAAATAAGACAATTATGCTAATTTTAATAGAAAAAATACCCAAAGAAACAAAACCCAAGGACTGGGCTGTATCTCAAAGAGAGCACTTGGAGAGATGGCTCAGCAGTTAGAGCAATCATTGCTCTTATAAAGGACTGGAGTTTTGTTCCCAGCATTCACATGGGGCTCAGAGCCATCCGTAATTCTAGTTCTAGGGGATCCAAAGTCCTCTTGTAATCTCAGAGGGCACCAGGTATGCATGTGGCACAACATAGACATATATGCAGGCAGACTGCTCATACACATAACAACACAGGCATACATGCAGGCAGACTGCTCATACACATAACAACACAGGCATACATGCAGGCAGACTGCTCATAACACATAACAACACAGGCATACATGCAGGCAGACTGCTCATAACACATAACAACACAGGCATACATGCAGGTAGAC